TGCAGTTACATATAGTGTAAATTACCTGGAGAGAGTTCCGGGGGTCAACGCCCCCACGGCCCGGTCTGTGACCAGGCCTCCTGGTGGATCAGAGCCTGATCAACCAGGCTGTTGCTGCTGGCTGCACGCAAACCAACGTACGAGCCACAGCCCGGCTGGTCAGGAACCGACTTTAGGTGCTTGTCCAGTGCCAGCTTGAAGACTGCCAGGGGTCTGTTGGTAATCCCCCTTATGTATGCTGGGAGGCAGTTGAACAGTCTCGGGCCCCTGACACTTACTGTATGGTCTCTTAACGTGCTAGTGACACCCCTGCTTTTCATTGGGGGGATGTTGCATCGTCTGCCAAGTCTTTTGCTTTCGTAGTGAGTGATTTTCGTGTGCAAGTTTGGTACTAGTCCCTCTAGGATTTTCCAGGTGTATATAATCATGTATCTCTCCTGCCTGCGTTCCAGGGAATACAGGTTTAGGAACCTCAAGCGCTCCCGGTAATTGAGGTGTTTTATCTCCGTTATGCGTGCTGTGAAGGTTCTCTGTACATTTTCTAGGTCAGCAATTTCACCTGCCTTGAAAGGTGCTGTTAGTGTGCAGCAATATTCCAGCCTAGATAGAACAAGTGACCTGAAGAGTGTCATCATGGGCTTGGCCTCCCTAGTTTTGAAGGTTCTCATTATCCATCCTGTCATTTTTCTAGCAGATGCGATTGATACAATGTTATGGTCCTTGAAGGTGAGATCCTCCGACATGATCACTCCCAGGTCTTTGACGTTGGTGTTTCGCTCTATTTTGTGGCCAGAATTTGTTCTGTACTCTGATGAAGATTTAATTTCCTCGTGTTTACCATATCTGAGCAATTGAAATTTCTCATCGTTGAACTTCATATTGTTTTCTGCAGCCCACTGAAAGATTTGGTTGATGTCCGCCTGGAGCCTTGCAGTGTCTGCAATGGAAGACACTGTCATGCAGATTCGGGTGTCATCTGCAAAGGAAGACACGGTGCTGTGGCTGACATCCTTGTCTATGTCGGATATGAGGATGAGGAACAAGATGGGAGCAAGTACTGTGCCTTGTGGAACAGAGCTTTTCACCGTAGCTGCCCCGGACTTTACTCTGTTGACGACTACTCTCTGTGTTCTGTTAGTGAGGAAATTATAGATCCATCGACCGACTTTTCCTGTTATTCCTTTAGCACGCATTTTGTGCACTATTACGCCATGGTCACACTTGTCGAAGGCTTTTGCAAAGTCTGTATATATTACATCTGCATTTTTTTTTGTCTTCTAGTGGATCTAGGACCTTGTCGTAGTGATCCAATAGTTGAGACAGACAGGAGCGACCTGTTCTAATCCCATGTTGCCCTGGGTTGTGTAACTGATGGGTTTCTAGATGGGTGATCTTGCTTCTTAGGACCCTTTCAAAGATTTTTATGATATGGGATGTTAGTGCTATCGGTCTGTAGTTCTTTGCTGTTGCTTTACTGCCCCCTTTGTGGAGTGGGGCTATGTCTGTTGTTTTTAGTAACTGTGGGACAACCCCCGTGTCCATGCTCCCTCTCCACAGGATGGAAAAGGCTCGTGATAGGGGCTTCTTGCAGTTCTTGATGAACATGGAGTTCCATGAGTCTGGCCCTGGGGCAGAGTGCATGGGCATGTCATTTATCGCCTGTTCGAAGTCATTTGGCGTCAGGATAACATCGGATAGGCTTGTGTTAACCAAATTTTGTGGCTCTCTCATAAAAAATTAATTTTGATCTTCGACTCTGTCTGGTTAGCGGCTTGCTAAAAACTGAGTCATATTGGGACTTGAGTAGCTCACTCATTTCCTTGCTGTCATCTGTGTAGGACCCATCTTGCTTAAGTAGGGGCCCAATACTGGACGTTGTTCTCGACTTTGATTTGGCATAGGAGAAGAAATACTTTGGGTTTCTTTCGATTTCATTTATGGCTTTTAGTTCTTCCCGCGATTCCTGACTCCTATAAGATTCCTTTAGCTTAAGTTCGATGCTTGCTATTTCTCTGACCAGTGTCTCCCTACACATTTCAGATATATTGACCTCTTTTAGCCGCTCTGTTATTCTTTTTCGTCGCCTGTAAAGGGAGCGCCTGTCTCTTTCTATTTTACATCTACTCCTCCTTTTTCTTAGAGGAATAAGCCTTGTGCATACATCGAGTGCCACCAAGTTAATCTGTTCCAGGCATAAGTTGGGGTCTGTGTTGCTTAGTATATCTTCCCAACTTATATCGGTTAGGACTTGGTTTACTTGGTCCCACTTTATGTTTTTGTTATTGAAGTTGAATTTGGTGAAGCTCCCTCGTGACTAATCTCATTATGTCGGTCTGGGGCTCCACGCATACATGTCTGAACCTCAATTATGTTGTGATCTGAGTATATTGTTTTTGATATGGTGACATTTCTTATCAGATCATCATTGTTAGTGAAGATGAGGTCTAGTGTATTCTCCAGTCTAGTAGGCTCTATTATTTGCTGGTTTAAATTGAATTTTGTGCAGAGATTTAAAAGCTCGTGTGAGTGTGAGTTTTCATCAGAGCTGCCTCCTGGTGTTATTACTGCAACAATATTATTTGCTATATTCCTCCATTTTAGGTGCCTTAAGTTGAAATCCCCCAGGAGCAAGATGTTGGGTGCAGGAGCTGGAAGATTTTCCAGACAGTGGTCAATTTTTAACAGCTGTTCCTGGAATTGCTGGGATGTTGCATCCGGAGGCTTGTAGACTACCACAATGACTAGGTTTTGGTTCTCGACCTTTACTGCTAAAACTTCCACTACATCATTTGAGGCATTAAGCAGTTCTGTGCAAACAAGTGACTCTGCAATGTACAGGCCAGGCCAGGCCAGCCCCCCCCCTTTTGCCTGTTCACTCTGTCACATCTGTATAGGTCGTAACCTGGGATCCATATTTCGTTGTCCAAGTGATCCTTTATGTGGGTCTCAGTGAAAGCCACGAACACTGCCTTTGCCTCTGCAAGCAGTCCACGGATGAAAGGTATTTTGTTGTTTGTTGCTGGCTTTAGACCCTGTATATTTGCAAAGAAGAATGTCATCGGACTGGTGGTATTGTTGGTACTGGGGGGATTTTTTTTCCCGGCATTAGTTTCTGTATCTGTTGGCTTGGAGTGGAGGCCATCGACTGTGGTTCCACTCCAGGAACGACTGGATTTGGTGTACGATTTCTGCCATTTCCTGCCAGTTTTTTTACCTTCCTGGCACTAAAAAACTTCTCCCTCTTGAGTGGCTGTGGCTACCCAGGTTTTCCCATGGCCTGGATGTTTTATATCTTTTTGTCCCCTTTAGATGGTGTGCCTGGCAATTTAAGTTATAGCACAGCCTTTCCTGTACTGAAGAGGTACACATTTCAGGGTGAAAAAGCTTACAGGAAGGGAGTTTGCATTTTCCTGTTGTCATATGGGCACGGCATTTTCTAGGGTGGTCATAGTTGCACGTCCCGTCTGTTTTTCCAGATTTCCCATGTCTGCAGATACCAAGTGCATAGTATGTGCACAGGCTTGGTTTCTGTTTGCCTTGGGTTTCTGTGACTGTATTCCCTGTTGGTGCATGTTTCCCTGTCTTATTCCTATCCTCCCTAGCACCAACAATGGAGCTCCCACCAGTTGTTTTTGGTAATATATCTTCACTATTGCTAGTGGAGTCCTCTTGTTTGCTATTTCATGTGGTATTTCTAGTTTGCAATATTGGTTTTATCTTATCTTTGACTACACTTGTTTCCCCACTACGGCTCCTGTCCCCTATGAGGTCATTTACATGTATTCCTTCCTGCGTATAATTCCCGACTACCTGGACAAAATCTCCAGCTTCACCATTACTGTCTCCCAGGACAGCACCTCCAGCTTCACCATTACTGTCTCCCAGGACAGTGCTATCAACCCAACATTTACTGACTACCAGGACATCACCTCCAGCCTTACAGTTTCTGACTACATGGCCAGTATCAAGGGCAGTACCATTCAGCCCAGACTTTTTATGTTCCCATCTGTTGTAGAAAGCTTCCAGGTTTTCTATGAAAGCAGCTTTGATGTTATCCTCTTTTAATACCCTTGTGATTTTAGTCCACAGATTTATCTCATTTGGGCATACCGAAAAACACTTCCCTGTCTTAATACTGCTTGTAGCTAGTTCTTGGATATCTGCACAAGGGGCGTGACACCAATTTCCACAAAAATGACAATTTATCCATGTGGAAGCCCGTTTGTTTGATTGACTGCAGACTACACAGAGCTTCATAATGATTTGAATGGTTGATTTACTGTAATTCTACTAGCAACCTCTTGAATACTATTAATAACCTCCTTAAATGAAGCTCTAGCTATTTGTATTTCTATTTCTAACTGTACTTGTATATTGGACAGCTTACCGTGTACATTCCTGATAGGATAACCCAAAAAATCCAGACAAAGTGCTATACTATGCTTGTGGATATAAGGCATAATAAGCATGACTGGCAAGTAATACACATTTTCACTTGTTCAGGAATCAGATGTGATGACTGCATCATGTGTAATACCTGTTGGTTCATGAGCGGCTCTCTCTCCGAGACAGAGAGATAGGGAGACAAAGACAGATAAGCAGAGACAGACAAAAATAGATAGACATATTTATGTGTAACAGTGAAAAGTAAAGCCAAGGCAGTTCACGATCATCAAATGTCACTCCACTGCTGACAGTGCAGCAGTGGAGTGACACTCGTCTTAAACTGTGCTTCAAGGAGTTTCATATATACTCCAGCATTTCTAAAACATTGCTGGGACCTGGTGAAAAAGGCAAAAATAATTTATTTATAAATACATTTTTCTTATTTAAAAACCCATAACCAAAAAAAAAAATTTGGGGCTGGAACGGATTAATGGCATTTTAATTAATTTTAACGTGGAAAATTGATTTGGTAAATCAGTAAATTGAGTTAAAAGCTGTCACAGAACGAATTAAACTTGTAAGTCAAGGTACCACTGTAAATACATATTGCTCACCTTCCAATATTTTTCATTCTCATTCTAGCTTCTGGAGGCATTTCTTCTTGATCTTCATCATCTTCACCACCAAATACTGATGCAGCTGAGCCGACTTTTGGCTTCATTGTCAAGGCTCCTGCCTGCACAGCTGCCTTCTGTTGTTAGAAAGGGAGTCACAAACAATGGAAAACAAAAAGTACTCAGGGAAGATGCCATATTTCTGGCTAACATGGTATTCCACAAGCCCCATCAAAAAATGAAGGACAGTGTGTGCATGCACACATCGGTGTGTGTATAGTGTGTGATGTGTGTATAGTGTGTGATGTGTGTGTATAGTATGTGTGGTGTGTAGAGTGTGTGTACTCACCTAGTTGAGGTTGTAGGGGTCAAGTCCAGCCCCGGGCCCCCCCCTCTTCATGGTTGTACTGGCACTCTTCCTGAACCGTGCCCTTATCATCCCTTGTTTAAAACCCTTGACTGTCGAAAACCCCCAACCCTGGGGTGTCTCCGGGTGTAAAAAAAAAAAAAAAAAAAAAAAAAAAAAAAAAAAAAAAAAAAAAAAAAAAAAAATGATAGAAAATCTTTTCCGGATTTTTAATGACACCCAAAAAAACTAAATTTGATGAAAAACTGACGGAATTTTGCTCTCGCAAATTTTTTAGCGTTCAGCGATATTAAAAATCGGCGTTTCCCCCACTTTGAGCCTTTTTTCGGCTAATTCCGTTTTTCCCTGTCGATCAAATCATAGCTATTTCTTTAGAACTCCATTTTTCTATCGATTGAGTAAAAGAAATGCCCTTTTTCCGATTTAAAATGCCCAAAATGGGTCAAAAATTTGAAATTTTGGGCCAAATTTCAAAAAAAAATGAAAAAATTGAAAATTTTCAAAATAAGGTCCAGATGAAAAATGGACACCCTGGTCAAAAATAAATTCTTTTTTCATAGTCATGTCTCCAGGCCCCTCTGATTTATCTTGCTTTCTATTTAAATTTTTTTTTCAAACAAAAAATAAAAGCTTACTATTTGCAAACTACTGAAATGTGAAATTTATTGATAAATAACAAACCATTCATGACTGCTTTTAGAATGGTAGGGCATTTTTTGGAAATGACATCATTTTTTTTTACTTTTGAACTTTGGGCCCCCCAAAAAAACATTTCCCCGCTTTGAGTCCATTTCCAGGTTCTTTTTATAGAAAAATCAATCAAAATCCCCCTTTTTTTCTATAATATTTTTTTCCATTCTTAAAATGAGCCCAAGAAAACGAGAATAAAACCATAAATACTATACGAAAATAGACCACAAAGTCGGCATTTTAAATTAAAAAATAAAAAAAAAAAAAAGGGTCGGAGTTTTTTTTTTATTTTGCATTGGTGCTCCGGGGGGTTTTTTTTATATGGTGCACAATGCCACACAGACCCTTCTCTACATGTGGGCCTCCCGCTTTCCCCTGCTTGATTTGAACCCCGCTAAAATTTATGACTATTTACGTAAAACAGTCCCTCGTAAGCGTATATTTGGCCGGACAGAAAAAGGGGTTTAAAAGCTATGTATGGACCTGCCTCCACACATCACTTCCCAAACTATTCCATTTCCTGATACTCTGTGGTGAAGAAATTTAAAAACCCCCTTGATTACCTGTGTTTTCAACTTCCAACTGGTCCCCTTGTTGCTTTGCCCATTTTGGGAAATCCTGTCTTTGTCCCCTTGTCAATTCCTCTCAGAATTTTGTGGTGTTATCTGTCCCCCTATTTCTGCCCTGGTCGATTTCCTTAACCTCCTCATGGACATACCCTTGCTTGGTAATGTCTTTTGAAAACCTTTGCACTTTCTCTAGTTTTTTTATGTGCTTGGTGGGTGTGGGTCCAAAAATGTCCCAAATATCTTTGGGGCCCAAAATTAAACGGTGTACAGGGTGCTGAAAAATTTCCCTATTAAGATGTCGGAATGCTGTTTGGGGTTTTGCTAGGCGCCCATATGCTGCAGCCGTTTATTTGGTTGTGTGCACTTCAGGAGAGGGTTCCCGGGTTTTACTCCCCAAAAACTTTTTCCTTGAGGGGTTTGTAGTGTTGGCCCATAGCCCGTATCTGTGGGGGTTTTGTTGTGTGTGTGTGTGTGTGTGTGTGGTGGTTTTGGTTGTGTTGTGTGTGTGTGTGTGTGTGTGTGTGTGTGTGTGGTGTGTGTGTGTGTGTGGGTTTATGTGTGTGTGGTTGTTTTGTGGTGTGGTGTATGTGTGTTGTGTGGTGTGTGTGTGTGGTGTGTGTGGGTGTATTTGGGGTGGTGTGTGTGTGGTGTGTGTGGTGGGTGTGTGTGTGTGTGTGTGTGTTGTTTGTGTGGGTGGTGTTGGTGTTGTGGTGTGTGTGGTGTGTGTGGGGTGTGTGGTGGTGTGGTGTGTTGGTGTGGTGGTGTGTGTGGTGTTTGTGTGTGTGGTGTGTGTGTGTGTGTGTGTGTGTGTGTGTGTGTTGTGGTGTGGGGTGGGTGTGTGTGTGTGTGTTTTGTGGTGTGTGTTGGTGTATGTGGGTGTGTAGTGGTGGTGTATTTGGGGGTGTGGTGTGTGTGTGGGGTGTGTTGGTGTGTTTTTGGGGTTTTTGTGTTTGTGTGTGTGTGTGGTGTGTGTGTGTGGTGTGGTGTGGTGTGTGTGTGGTTTTTGTGTGTGGTGTGTGTGTGGTGTTGTGTGGTGTGTGTGTGGGGTGTGGGGTGGTGTGTGTGTGGTGGTGTGTGTGTGTGTGTGGTGTGTGGTGTGTGTTGGGTGGTGTGGTGTGTGTGTGTGTGGTGTGTGTGGGTGTGTGGTGTGGGTGTGTGTGGGGTTTTGTGTGTGGTATGTGTGTGTGTGTGGTATGTGTGTGTGGTGGTATGTGTGTGTGTGGTATGTGTGTGTGTGTGGTGTGTGGTGGTGTGGTGTGTGTGTGGGTGTGTGTGGTGCATATGTGGGTTTTGGGGGTGTGTGTGTGTGTGTGTTTTGTGTGTGGGTGTGTGTGGGGTGGTGTTTTGTGGTGTGTTTTGTGTTGTGTGGTGTGTGTGGTGTGTGTGTTGTGTGGTGTGTGTGGGGTTGTTTGTGGTTGTGTGGTGTGTGTGGGGTTTTGTGTGTGTGGGGTGTGTGGTTGTGTGTTGTGTGTGTTGTGTGTGGTTTTGTGGTGTGTTTTGTGTGTGTTTGTGTGTGTGTGTATGGGTGTGGTTTGTGGGGGTGTGTTGGTTGTGTGTTGTGGGGTTGTGTGTGTGGGTGGGGTGTGTGTGTGGTGTGTGTGTGTGTGGGGTGTGTGTGTTGGGTGGGGTGTGGTGTGTGTGTGTGTGTGTGGGGGGGTTTTGTGTTTGGGTGGTGTGTGGGTGTGTGTGTGGGGTGTGTGGTGGTGTGTGTGTGTGGGGTTTGTGTGTGTGGTTGTGTGGGGTGTGGTGTGGTTGTGTGTGGTGTGGGTGTGTGGTTGTGTGTGTGTGGGTGGTGGTGGTGTGTGTGTGTGGTGTGTGTGTGGGGGTGTGTGTGTGTGGTGTGTGTGTGTGGTGTGTGTGTGGTGTGTGTGGTGTGGTGTGTGTGGTGTGTGGTGTGTGTGTGGGGTTGTGTGGGTGTGTGTGTGTGTGTGTTGTGTGTGTGTGTGTGGGGGGGTGGGTGTGGGTGTGTTTTGTGGTGGTTTTTGTGGTGTGTGTGTGGTGTGTTGTGGTTTTTGGGGTGTGTGTGTGTTTTGGTTGTGTGTGGGTGTGTGTGGTGTGTGTGTGGGTGTTGGGGTGTGTGTGGGAGTGTGTGTGGGTGTGTGTGTGGGTGTGTGTGGGTGTGTGTGTGGGTGTGGGGTGGCGGGGGTGTGTGGCGTGTGTTTTGGCGTTTTGTTGTTGGCGGGGTGTGTGGCGGTGTTGGGGGCGGGGGTGTGTGGCGTGTGTTGGGTGGGTTGGTGTGTGTGGCGTGTGTGTGTGGGGGTGTGTGTTGGGGGTGTGTGTGTGGGTGTGTGTGGGTGTGTGTGGGTTGGGGTGTGGGGGTGTGGGTGTGTGTGTGTGGGTGTGTGGTGTGGGTTGTGTGTGTGTTTGGGTTTATGTGTGTTGGGTTGTGTGTGGTGTGTGTGTGTGGGGGTGGTGTGTGTGTGTGGGGGTGTGTGTGTGGGGGTGGGGTGTGTGGGTTGGTTGGGTGTGTGTGTGGGGTGTGTTGTGGGGTGGGGGTGGGGTTGTGGGGGTGGGGTGTGTGGGGGTTGTGTGTTGTGTGGTGTGTGGGGTTTTGGTGTGGTGTGGTGTGGTGTGGTGTTGTGGGTTGGGTTGGGTGTGTTGTGGGTTGGGTGTGTGTGGGTTGTGTGTGTGGGGGTGTGTGTGGGGTGGGTGTGTGTGGGTGTGGTTTTGGGGTGGTGGGTGGTGTGTGGTGTGTGTGTGGGTGTGTTGTGGGGGGTTGTGTGGGTGTGTGTTTGGGTGTGTGGGTTTTGGGGGGGTGTGTGTTGGGTGTGTGTGGGTTGTGTGGCGTGTGTGTGTGGGGTGTGGGGTGGGTGTGTGGGGGTGGCGTGTGTGTGTTGGGTGTGTGGGTGGGGTTTTTTGGGTTTGTGTGTGGGGTGTGTGGGGGGGGTGTGTGTGGGTGTGTTTTTTGGGGGTGTGTGTTTTTTTGTTTTTTTTGGATTGGTTGTGGTTTTGTTTGGGTGTGGTGTTTTTGGGTGTGTGGTGGGTGTGTGTTGGTTTTTTTTTTTTTTTTGTTTTTTTTTGTTGTTTCTTTTTTTTTTTTTTTTTTTTTTTTGTTTTTTTTTTTTTTTTTTTTTTTTTTTATTTTTTTTTTTTTTTTTTTTTTTTTTTTTTTTTTTTTTTTTTTTTTTTTTTTTTTTTTTTTTTTTTTTTTTTTTTTTGTGTGTGTGTGGGGGTGTGTGTTTGTGGTGTGTGTGTGTGTGTGTGTGTGTGTGTGTGGTGTGTTGTGGGGTGTGGGGTTTGTGGGGTGTTGGTGTGTGTGTGTGGGTGTGTGTGGTGTGTGGTTTTTTGTGGGGGTGTGTGTTTGGTGTGTGTGTTGGGGGTTTTGGTTGTGTGTGGTGTGTGGTGTGTGTGTGTGTGTGGTGTTGTGTGTGTGTGTGTGTTGGGGTGTGTGTGTGTGTGTGTGTGTGTGTGTTTTTGTTGTGTGTGTTGGTGTGGGGTTTGTGTGGGGTGTGTGTGGTGGTGTGGGGTTGTGTTTTGGGTTGTGTGTGTGGTTTGGGGTGGTGGTGTGTGT